CCACCACGGGCACATGAGAACACCCTCAGCAAACAGCACCACCCATGCACCTACGCAGAGAGGATTCTTCAAGTGACTGTTCCCACGGCAGAGTTCACAACACCTTTCTGTCTGTGCTTCCCATTAATTAAGTGTTCAGCCACCATCACGAGGTGCTTCCCTACCTTGCTGCCAATGGCTTTTCTGTATGAAATAACAGAACACGTTCTGAAGTATTTTAAATTAAGGAACAGTCAAGCTTAATATGTTTTAATCACCATAAGGGCATGCAAGGACTTGTGTGCTCTAACCTCCACTGCAGTATTAGATGGGTCCCTCTTTGCAGGGCTTCTCTCTACCCAGCAAACCCTACTGAATCTGCAGGGGCAGAGGAAACAGTGAAGCGCACTGATGAGGCATCACACTCATTACAGCTTCAACACAGTAAAGAACAAACCAGGCATTTTAATACAGGGGTGTTGTGTTTAAATACAACTCGGCCCCTAGCACACGACTCATGTTAATCACTTACCATGAAAGAAAATTTATTTTAGAAAGTGGTGATTTTTCAGTTAAAAACCTTCATCATAACAAAAGCATTACCGGGATCACCCTCTGTACAGTAAAGAGTGTGAAGCTACACAGAAGACAGTTATGAAATCCTATGTCATTAGCAACACACATCACAAATGCTGAGAGACTCAGTATTGAGGTTCCTCTCCCAGATTGTCTTGACGGGCTAAGAACTTTTCCAGGGAGTTGCTGGGCACCAAAGGGAGAGCACGATACCTTTACACACTTCTGGCACTTATTTTAGGTGTCTGAAGACCTGCAGTGCATATTTTGAACTGAGCTGAGCAAGAAGCAGCAGAATGTGCGTCTAAGAACCAGTTCTGAGGCTGTTTGTTCCCCTGGAATCCCTGGTTTTATCCATCATCCTTCACTGCAAACCAGCTATGCAGGAGTGGTTTCATACTACCTGCACTCTACTAAAACAGTTGAAATCAAGTTATTTACAGTGTTATCATTTATGTAATATGTTAATATGTAACTGTAATGTAATATAACATATATGTAGACACATAGAATGTAATACAACATTACTAGAGTGCAGGTAGCATGCAAACCACTAAAATTGATAGAATAGCAAATACTTCAAAAAACCCTATGCAAACTTATTTAGAATTCAGATGAGGATCATTCTACACAGCTTAGGGCAAAATATCTAAACAAAAAAAAAAAAAAGCATTTTTTCCCACATATTTTAATCCTGGATTAATTATTTTAGACATTTTCCATATTAATAAAAGCAGAATTGCTTCTTTCTTAAGTTCTTTATCTACTTTCTTTGAGTAAAGCTATTTAATACTGGAGATTGTGGAAAACATTTGTTCATGATTATCCAGACATACAGTCAAACAAGACTGAAACAAGAGCAGCATGCAAAAATGTATTTAAGGACTATCATCCCAAAATGCTGCTAAAAGCTATTAACCAGTACGTGTTAATTGCCAGAGCATTCATATTAATTTTCACTTCGGGCCCAACATTGTGGAATATTTCCCCTGATACATTTTAAACAAAGTTTAATTTAAGGAACTGCTTCTATCAACACTTATGAAAATTAACAGCCAAGCAATTAGCACTCATGAATTATCCCCTCCCCCATGCTTTCTACAGCATCATTTTTAAAACAGTTGCTACAAGAGAAATTGTTGGGTTTTAACCCATTACCAGAATTAACCATAAGAAACCTTGTAACACTATCCAGTGGTACCACTCCTCACAAAAGGATTTTCAGCATCTGTCCAGCCAAAGATCATGCTGAGCTACTTTTGTTTCGATTATCTCCCATAGTCAACACGCAAACCTCTTTAAAGTCAGAAAAGCCAGACTTCCTTAATCAGCATTTTCAACTAGTAGTCATGAAAACAGAGATAAAAGTTAAAACTCTAGTCTGCACATAGGAAAGATTTCTGGCCTTGTAACTCAAGTTTATCCTAGAGCTGAATGATCCTTTCCTTACATTTTGACTGTGGTTTTCCAACTTTCTTCTCTGACTATTTTGCATCTCTGCAGCATCTCTGTTTTGATTGTCCTGAAACACTTCTCTGTCTGCCAACATCCTGCTGGGGCTGTAGGAGCAGCCCTGTGGTGGCAAACATCTCAAAAATTGGATTGACAAGACATTTTAGTGATTAAAATTTCTTAAAGGTAGCAGAGACTTGGAAGAAAAATGAATGTGGGCTGGCTTCAGAGATTATTTCAAGGGGAACTGCAAAGAGAGGCCTTAGCAGGAGTTACACATTCAGTACATGGTTCCTACAAAACTGAATGTTTGATCGTAGCATGGTTTTTTTCTTTTCCAGTAACTAAATACATCTTGGTAACATTTTTCTTACTAGTGGGAATGACCATGCAGTTGAATACTCTTGACACTAATACTGTACTAAATCAGGATCCTTTAAGATTAGTACCTCAAAGCAAACTCAGCGCTACGCTTTCCAGCAACTCGTGTAAGTTACACTTGTGATTTGAAAAGAAATAGTCTAGATTTCTGTAGAATGAAAAGATAACACATGCTTTTAAAACAATTAATGAAAGCATGAAACTACATGTTGTGAATCTCACAGTTGTGTCACTGAAACGAGCCATTACAACACCCCGGTGTTTCAGTTGTAGTGTCTGGCTATGACCTTCCAATCTGTGTTACAGTCAGTCTTATTTTCCCAACCTTATTAAAAGTCAGTGAGTTGGAACAATAAGCCATCAGAGTTTGATTTTCCAAATTCTGTAAACAGAAACAGTCATAGATTTATCTATAAAATGGATGATATTTAATCTGGAAATCCTAATTTTAAATCTGACTTCTTAAGCCTTCAAGTAATTTTCTATACAAATGGCAAAGTAATTGTAAATAACTAAAGGCTTCTTTTCATACAATATTCTTAGCAAGAGTTTTCAGGATTCATTAGCCAAGATGTACAACCCACATGATATACAAACCATGGAAAGAGATGCAGGGGTTTGGTTTACTTTAACTGTTCTATGGAAAAGCTTGAAGATAGAATCAAGAGTAGTTATTGTGTACGTGTATCTTTCGTTAAGAGCTGAAGTTTACCATGTATATGGAAGCCACAGACCTATCTTGTGTAGTTGTGGGACAAGAATGACCTGAATTCTTGAGCTGATTCGAATGCTTCCATTGCAGTTGCATTTCACAAGCCATATTCTCTACTGTTTTGATAATTAATGAACTGATCAGAAGAAGAAGAAATTAGAGTGCTTTAAAATTTTATTATTTCATAAAATTGCAGAAGTGGTTATGAAAAAGACACTCTATCTGGCAGAAAACACCTGCAAGATGTAAGTATATTAATAAATCGGTTTGGTTGATATTAGAGCACGCAGTGTTTTCTTATTTTTAACCGATTAGCTGAAACAATACATCAAATGTTGGAAGGAGGAGGGAAGGCCCCTGAAGAGAATGGTTTTATTTGATTTTGGGTCCGTTAGGGAGTTGAATTAGTGGTAACTTAAAACAATTCAGAATGCAGCTGAGTGCACACATGAACAAAGAGCTTCGGCACAGCAAGTAGAGAGCTCTCCTCATGCTTTGCCAGTGCTCCACAAAACGGGTGTTACTCAAGCTGAAATCTGCTTTACAACCTCCAAATACACATATATAAACCAAAGGCCTAGTTATAATCTCAAAGATTTCAGAGCCACTGAGATCCCTTGAGTAAATACATAATTAAGTAGGGTTTTTTTTAAGACATGTTTAATTAGGCCCCTAGCCCCTCCTCATCCCCCCTGCCTCTCCCCAATTATGTACCACTTCCCCAAGAGATATGTGGCTCTGTTAATTATGTAAATAAGTCATGCACTATTCCCTGAAAGAATTGTATTTATGTGAAAAATACTACTCATCTATTATCAATAAAAATAAATGAGACTTGTGATATTTCATTAAAAATATTTTTTTAAAAGCTAGATGGTTTTTGAATTTACATTACTGTCTGGAAATACAACAAAACTGAAATAAAATAACTCACTACTGAACTATAATGTTTCTTCTGTATCTCAGATGGTCCAGTATTTAAAAATAAATAATATACACAGCGAGTTTAGAAAAAAGGCATCTTGGGCTTGTGACCATTAAAACACCTCTAACTGAGTTAGCACTAATTCCCACGTGCCAGTAAGTATGAAATAACAACAGAGGCAGCTTTTGCTATGTGGACTTCATAGTTTAAATGTTACCATTTCACAATCTTCTGAACACTTCTAGATACGTTAGTGGAATTACATATCTGACTTTCCACTTCAAGAATACTGAACAGAATATGAAATTCTTCCATCACAATGGTAATGAAGCTCAAACTTCATACTCCCACAGGAGATTCCACAGATAAATCCAGCAGAAAACTTATCAGTGCAGCAGTTATAATTGTTTTGGAACAATGACACTGATACATCACACCCATGTTTATATCTCTGATTCCAGAGTTTATGGCAGAGGAAAATATTTGACAACAAAGAGTATGTAAACAAGGAAAGACAGTTACCCACAGCTCTAAGTAACATCAAATGCAAACTCTTCAAAGGAATGTAGTCAAGGAATGAATTTGACCTACCAGGTTTCAATGAACCTCCTCCACGTATTACAGACCTGAGTACTTGAGCAGAACGTAGTTTAGTCCTTTTTTTGCCTCTGATATTGACCTAATGATGTTTCAGCTTTACACCCTCAAAACAGACAGTGGCTTTTCCCACCCTCACCGGAGCAGTTTGAGAATAAAGACAGCATAAATCATGGAATATTTAGCAAGTGCTGTTATGGAGCCAGACAGAATAGATAGAGAAGCATGTTTCTAGGTGTCTGCTTTAAAATAACTGATGGCCTACTATAAAGCCTAGTTAAAGCTTGAACAAGTAAATGCACACAATAAATAACTACCTAAGGCATCCTCAGGTCAGGGACCTCCTGGGTATGAGAGAAAAACATTTGGTCCACCTACCTTGCCGTCAAATTTTGAGTACTCATTGAAGGGGTTATTCAGCTGCAGCGGGCACTGTTCCAGTCGCACAGACAGTATTGACTGTTTCCCAGAACATGGAGATTTTACTCGGAAATTCTTCTTTTCAAATAGTGAGCTCAGCTCCTCTGCTGTAGATCAGAAACGAGATCAGAGTTGTACAAGGAGACCTACAGAGGCCACTGTTCACCACAGAAAGATAACATTTTAAGAGGGAGAACAAAATAAAACATATAGACTTCCATTTCTAAATCAACATGTCTAAACTATGCCAAAGAACTGTTGATACATCTATGATAGGCCATGCAGAAGCATTTCCAGCTGAGCTCGATACACATTACAGAGCAATACTACACTATCCCATTACCACATTATAACATCACTGTGCTGCCAGCAGTAGGCTTGGGACTACACTGACCTAAAAGATTTTACTTCTCATGGTAGACTGGATTTGGTCTCCTCTCAAAAAACCACTCAAACCTGAAAACACTATTCCAGACAAATAGCCTGGACAATAAAAACTAGCAAATTGCTAAAGACAAAGGTGGTAAGAGTGAGTTTTTATGTGGTCTGGGAAGGCTCATAAAGACTTGGACAAACAGAAATTTTTATATGAAAAGTCTGCAGAGCTGAATTTCCAGTAAGTGTTTAACTCAAAATTTACAGGCATACTTTAAAAAAAAAAAAACCAAACAAAAAACCAAAAAAACCCACCAAATTAGGACTTCTTATATTACAAGGACACTATAAAATCAGGACAGAGCCCAGGGTGTTTTAGCATATTAGTACTGATGGGTCTCATCTGCAAGAAGCCATGACTGAATCTGGACAAGGTTTTCCACATCTGCTCTAGGAGCCAGGTATCCCCAAACTCCATCAATCACTGCCTGAGAACCAACAGAACCAATACCAGCTCTCCTAGACCAGCTCTGCTCTGCGTTCCTACATTTGGATTCTCTTGCATCTCAGAGATTTACATGTTGCTCCTCCAGAGAAAGGAAACCTGCAGGGAGTTGGTTAATTTCTTAAAAGATGAAATTAAAACTTGACAAATTATAACTAGTCAAAAGCTCAGTTTATTTTTATCAGCAGATTGCCTGAAAACTCAGACAGTTGGCAAAAGTGCTAAATAGTGGCACTAGGAGATACCCAACAGTCTTGTGAGAGGCTGCGATGAACCAAAAGAGCTTGATTAAATCTCTTTTAAATGTGGCAACTTAAACTCCATGAGGTATTTTGGTTTTTTAACAAGCTTATTTCCATGTAAAAAAAATAAAATCTCAATCTCAGTTGCAATTATGCTAGAGTATTACCCTTCACTGGTATTTCTTGGGCATTTGAGAAGTACTCTGTACCTTGGAATGCAATATAAGGGTTTTATTGGTTCAAGTGAAAAAGCAAGTATTCTATCTTCAAGTTTTGTCTCTAGGGAAATGTTAAGATGATTTGTCTATTGTTTCCTTTGTTGGGATGTACAAAAAGAGGATCTCAAGAATTCTTCTGAATTTTTAGTGTGACATCTGTTTTGCTTTGAGTGTTGTACAGTTCTTACTCAAATCAAGTACCTCATACGACCGAAGAGTTTATATACAGTACATTCTACATCCATTACAATTGTAAATCCAGGTGCCTGACTGCAGGTTTCCTTTTCCAGAAAAATTCATAAAAATCAACTCATTTAGGAAGAACCACCCAAAACTTTTTAATGATACCTAGAAGATAGACAAGGTTTCTGAAGGACTACCATCTTCCACTGAGCAGTTTGTCAGTTAATTCCTAACAGACTTGGGCTTCAAGAGTTCCAATTACAAACACTGAAAAAAGCCCCCGCATTTTAATTTCTCAAATTTCAGGGAAAAAACCAGATCATATTTTTATATAAAACTGCTTTAATTGTATATTTTTTAATTCTTAATTAAAACTAAGTTTTGCTGTGAGTCTACACTATGTGTATTTTTCTGCTTCTGTGATTTTGTTAGCTATATGAGCTATGCTATGTGGGCTGAATGCAAGGCTTTTGAAAGATTCCCTTGATATATTGTTAATTTACATTTTATATGCTCTGAAATGAATGAATGTAAGATGTAAATACAACGCCTTATTTCTTGCTTTTATCTAAAAACACCTAGTATTTTATAAAAAGGATAACCTTTTGTACGTATATCCCTATTTGGTTTATAGGGCCCACAGACTGCTTTACTAACAGAATTTGATCTCTACACTGCACGAAGCTGAAACATTCATTTTACTGAAAGAGAACAGATGCACAGAAAAGTGATGTGAATTGGTGGCACCACAGAACAAAAACCACCAGACCTCCACTTCCAGTCCGTCAGCTACCCCTGAAACACCTTTGTTTGCTAAACCTCTAACTGTCTCCGAATGTATAGAGATTTCCTTTTTCAAGTCTTTACACTACTACCATCTTATCTCTCAAACTCATTTCTGACAAAGCAAACAGCTTGTCTCATGACAGCAGGGAAACAGATGATGAGCAGAAAATATTCTTTTTTTCCCCCTCATTATCATACACAAAATTACTTGTCTCTCACTTCCCTTTATCCTGGTTGGTGTACCTTTATTTCTGTACATAGTAATAAAAATGGAAATCACAAATACAAAATTGCCAGATGCCTCAAATTGCAACTACAGATCCAACTGCAGGACAGCAGAGATGCCTAGAAGAGATTCTCCCTATAGCAAGGCATCTCTCTGATGAGTGATCACTGGAGGTGGTGTCACCAGACTCTAACAGGACAAACCAGAAACTTTACAGTATCCTTGCAGTTTGCATGGGTTCCATCATAGGCTCGACTTTGTCTAAAGCTCAGTCAGAAGAGGGAAGCCAAATTCCCCCCATCGAAGAGCAGCTATTTCTGTTGCTATTGCACTCGTACGTATTTGCCAATAATGCTGAACCCAAGAAACAGAACAAAGCCTCATACGCACACGCTTGACAGGGAGGAGGACACAGTGGACATCCTCCAGGGCTCCTCTCTTTCCTGGCCTCTTCCTACTGTGTTGTTCTTCACATAAATAAGTGAGAAACGTGCAGAATCTCTGTGCCTGAGCAGAGAAGGAAAATCAGCTCTGCCAAGAGACAGCGAGTGCCTGGAGTTTCCACATAACTTACTTATTTTTTTATTCAAATTTCTTCTGCAGCAGGGAGCACATTCCTACAGAGGGGGACACTTCCATCACTGCTGGCTGACAGATTATGTCTATCTTCAGGGCAGCACATAAAAGGAACTAAGCGTCGTGGTGAAGCCCACATGAATAAGATGACACAAGCAGCATAGACACAGCAGGGGACTGGAGTCTGAGTGCAATTCAGTGTAAAGCAGTATCAAGCAGCGTATAGATGGGGATAGAGAAAGAGAATTGCATCATCATTGGTCAATCGCTATAAAATATTGAGCAAAGAGAGTTGGAGGTTATGGTAGATTAACCTTTAAAACCTACAACTCTGCTTACAGAAGTAGAAAGGCAAAAACATTTTAGAATGCATTAACAGAGGTATCGAACAAGCTGAACAGTGTTCTAAGGATTAGTGCAACTGTGTTGCTCATGTGAGCAGCTTTGCTCACTCCTCTAAAAAAAGATATTGTAGAGCTGGAGAAGGTTCTGCAGATGACAGCCAGGAAGATTCAGGGATTTAGGCAAAAAAAGGAGATTACATGGAGACCTCATTAAGATACACACAAATTTTGAAAGAAGTAGGCATGACAGACCATACAAAGGTTTGAATGTATGTTAAATATAACAGGAATAGATACTAGCTTGAGCTATAAAATACGAGAATTGAGACAGATTTTTCATCTCATGTATTACAGTTTAAACTATGTAGGACATTCAGTTAGAAATAGTAATATAATTTAAAAAATAATTCAAAAAAAGATAGCCTATTTTTGTAAGAAATGAGTGATAACAGTTTTCCCAAGGAAAGGCTAGATAAGGTAAGGCAGCATTTATTACACTTTCATTTAAGTAGATCATATTGATACCTATTTCTTAAGATTAAGATTCCCCTTATCTAGAAAAGTAACCACTAAAATTATCTGTAAGAGTCAACTCTACAAAATTCTTCATCACCTCGAGTACACCAAATGCCACTGGAAACAGCCGGAAAGCCACAGCTTAGGTGGATCCTGCATTCTGAATGCAGACACTTGCCAATCAGCAAAGAAATGTCGTGTTCCTTACGACCTCACAGTAACACCAAGAGCTTTACTACCTCCATTTCTTGCCCACTGAGACAAGAGAAGCCTTAGAAGATAACAATGCTACAAGATGACAAAACACACTGTATTAATACCTTACATCGCAAAAAAATAAAGCAGCCACTTGAATTAGTTCAGACCAGTAGAGTAGGTTTTAAACGTATTTTCTTTACTTTGCCTTTACTAATAATTCGGAACGCCCTAGTCATTGCTGAAAACAAATGAGACCCCTGTGGCACACCACCCCCCTGCAATAAACTATGGGAAACCGGCAACTGGGGCATGGGAGGCAAATACAATAATTAGCATTTCCTCTATGCTTTGAAAGCTGACATGAAAATTATGAATGAAAATGTTGTAACCATCAAAAGGAGAAATAAACACAGTAGGAAAATGGAAGATCTTTTCTTTTTACCTGAGTAAGAAGTATTTCTGTCTTTCCACTGAACATTTTTGCATTTTATTTGATTTTGTCTCTCTTTCCGCAGACGTTCTAGTCTCTGAGCTTGAAAAGAAATATTATAACTATAAGTTTGTCAATGAAAGTTTACTATAAACAAAGACATAATTAACTACCTTTATATGAATAAAGATGTTTTATACTGCATATGTAGGGGGAAAAGTCATAAAATTTTAAAGGTGGCACCCCTGAAAAGCAAATACCAACAAAAACATGAAAATGTTCTTGATTTATAATTGAAATTAGAGCATATAAAACATTAATAGAGATCATAAAGATAGTATTAACATGGAAGAGAATAATAAAATGTGAAAACTTCTGTGATTAATATGACATTTCATTATATAAATCATTAATAACGGTCTTAAAGGAATTTTAATGCACAAATGAACTGAAGTGAATATTACATTACAGGAATAAAATTACTGTTATGAATTACTCTACCCGTTTCAAAAATTAAAGATAAATGAACTCAGACTAGACTATTAAAGTTTTAAATATAAAATCCTTTATCTAAAAATCATGAAAATTATAAAATGTCAAAGCTATATAAATTAGCATAGCTTTTTCTTCAGTGCGCTGAAACAGTTTATAGGTAGTAAAATAAATGATTTGTATCTTCACAACATTAGTCAAATCTTAAAATGAATATAATATTTCTTTATGTATATTTTGCCTCCATTTTCAAAATATGGTTTGAAAAAAAGCCTGAAATAGTTATGAGATCAAAGAACTTAAGAGACCAGGGTACCACATGATACCTTTTTGTTAACAGCAAGGTCTCTTTTAGGAAATGGTTGTCCAAACCTGGTAGAAGCTACCCTGAGACAATGACCACCTGAAATAACTGATGTTGTGGAGTGGCCACTCAAAATAAGAAAGCAGATTAGAGTGGAAAGTAGGACTAAATGTTGATCACTGAAAGAAACAATTTCCTGGATATATTAGCAATTTTGATGTATTGAGATCATTCATTAACTAAAATGAGTTTGCAGAAGAGATTCAAACATGCTAAATTGCTCTGACAATTTTTAGATACAATTTGAGTTCTCTGAGCCATTTCACCAATTAAAAAAAGGTTAATAAATATTTTCTATCCATCCTATTATTATTCTTTTACGTTTACTCTTTGAACCGAACTGTGGACACAGAAGTGATCTCCTCTCCAGCTGGAAAGTGATGAAAAAACCCAATACTTTGAGGTTTAACAGCTGTAGCAAGCAGTTTAAGGTACAAACACAGAGACCTTGATGTTTGTTTTCCACTTAAGCCAATGTAGGGTTAGTGCCTAAATAACTCTGTGTATCTTACTCCTAATGAAATAAGAAAAGTATCCCCACTTATAAGTTTAAATATTGGGTAAAACACTGTTGTTGTGTTTTTATCTGAAAGAATAAAAAAAACCCCAACTTTCTGTTTTCCAATTACTCTAGAGACTGTAGCTCAAAATTACCTCCTAAACCCCTTCTTTCCAAATAAGCCATCATGAAATATCTGCTAGATTCAAGATTCACATGTAAACAATGGATAAAGGAAAAAAACATATAATAGAAATAAGAACCGTGTATTTTTATCCTATCTGGGGTTTTTTGACTCTTGTCTATACAAACTCACTAAAATACAGCAACCATCTCCACTAACACCATCCTATTCTTCTACCTACAGCTGATCACCAGTGACCATTTACTGTGGGACTGTACTACAGTAACTCTAAATTAGATGGAATTATCAGTACCTATTAGAAGTCTGAATTATTTAAGGTTCATTCTCATGAGAAGCATGCTAGTTTGAAAGCTTTCCGTGTGACAAATGTCACTGACCAAATGTAGCTCTTGTTTCATTAACTATTAGCAACTAGATGAGCCTTTGTTTCCAGCCATGTCCACTGGGAGACTTTGCTGTTTCCCATATTCCCATCACCCCGCACAGATCTGTCTCCGATCTACTGGTCTCACCCCTCTGGATATGGCAGAAAGGAGGCAGTGAAGAGATGGAGCCCAGAGCCAAAACCTACTTTCATCCCACCTAGCTCCTGCAGAAAAGGAGGAGGAATTTGGTGGCAGATGGCTCCTGCATCCTCACAAACATGATGGGCAATAATACCCAACCATGTCTCACTCAGTACACATCACTTTCAGGACTGAGGGGATAACTTTCACATTAGAATGCACATAAAATTCATTTCCAAATTTGCACACTCCAGTGAGGACCACCTAATTACCAACACTTCTGTAGCCTCTGCAGAGGTCTGTCGAGTCTTCTACAGTAACACATTATTTCTACAATTTATGAAGACACTATCACTGTAATAATACAAATAACACAAAATAGCATTATAATACAAAAAAAAAGTGAACTGTCTACTGAATTTATTCCTCTTCCTGGTTTTTTTGCAGAGGATTCAGTACTGATCAACGCACATTCTTTGTGGGCTGTTTTCCACCCCACTCTGTTTCAAATCAGAGCCTGATTCCCTTGCTAACTGCATTAGGTTCCTAGTGGGACCAGCACAGACAATAGAACATTGAAGACACACCAGATGAAGAGAGGCAAAAAACTGGCTCCCCAGTGGACTGAGTGACCTAACCATTATTTTAGAATATGTCGCCAGTTGGAAACTGAAATGGTTTCAATCCCTAATTTAAATGGAGATTATTCTATCAACTTACTCACTTGGGGAAATAATTCCTTCAGAATTATTTTTTTGAGCAATTCTACATACAAACTTTGCCTCTCCTTCCCCATAAACTATGCCATCAACAGAACTAAACAAGACCTCTATGGCAATGCTAGGCAGCCTGGCACACTGACCTTCTCACCGTGCCTTACAGTCAGCTGCAGCTATATATTTGTCTTAGTTTCCAAATCTAACTCTCCATGACAGGAGACCAGTGCCATGTCTTTTCTGAACTTTTGACAACTTCTTAGTCATGAAAGGTGTTTCAAGATATTCAACACCATACAACGTTTTACTCCTTAGGTGGAGTACAGATGTTTTTTCTGAGCTCTAGGTGGTGTTATAATACCTTCAGAAATAATTTGAAAAATAGATACACACTGTAACATAGAAAAAAAACCCCAAAGAGAGAACAGCATTGACCACCTCACACCAACCTTTTCATATATATTTTATATTGCAGAACTTTCATTCACAGCATCTCCCAGGTATAAGCAAAAGTCTGAATATCCTTCATATGAAAAAACTAATGGGACAGCTTTCTTCCAGTCAAGGCAAACCGAGCATACTTTGAAGCTGTGTACACACCCTTAAACTTTCTTATTTGTTAACTCAAATCCCAGCTCAAGGTCACAGACAAATCATTGTCTCACATCAAACTTCATTCCTCTCTTATATAGATTTGATGCCTCACTAGGTAGATTCTTCTCAGGAAACAACTATCCTAGTCAGAAGTTAACACCTCTCCAGACATTAACAATGGAAACATCAAAGATTGTTTGTTTACTTAGGATTTAGACCTGATGTCTTTACAGTTTTATTTTTTTATATATATAAAACTGACTACCTTTGCACATGAATAAGTAAAACAACAATTAAAACTCAGTTGACAGCACAATAAAGTAACTGAATCATTGCACGTCCTTTTATAAAAAGGGTCTCGACACTACAAAAGGAAAAGTTTGACACATACCCAGCTAGTCATGCTCTGATTTGTTCGTGCAAGCCAGACTAATAGAAACTGAATTTAAAAGGCTAATGTGATCTTGGCTGCAAACATCACTCACCTGTGTTTGATCGTCTTCTGATTCCAAAGTCCCAGCTTGAGGTAATATCGACTGATTGGGAATATATATAGCCCTGAGTCTCACCATTGCTTCCCTGTGTTTCTGAACCACTGTCCCCATATGTTGACGAGGGATTAAACTTCTCCAGGTCGACATCGTGATCTATCAGGACCATTTCACACATCCCTGTGTCATCACTGGTCACGTGTGACTGCCGAATATGAGCAAGTATAATAGTAGGGTTGTCCAGGAACGCCATTCTGTCCATACACCACCAGTCCGACACTTCACTGTACTATCTTCTCTCCATCTTGTTTCATGGACACACGTACCTAGAAATATAATATACAGAGTGTTTTAGGAAAGCAAACAACAAAATCCAAACCCTGACTCAGGGGGGTTTGTATTTTGGATGCACAAAACCTGACTCAGCTTTGTACAGTGAATTATTTTAATTCTGCTCCAGTTTACATAAGTTACACTGCATAAAGAATAGTGGTTTTGAAGGACAGCTTAAAACCTGAATCCCAAGGCAACAGAACATAACAGACACCTACAGACAGGTCCCATTACTCTACAATGAAATGTTGCTGTAAGGCAAAATACTCTGAAGTATTACACAGAGAAGGACACAGAGAAAATACACATGAGAAACATCTGTCCATTCAAATTAATAAGTTTACAAAACCAGGTAGGGTTTTGAATTTCTCTTCACCCATCATAATAAAATGTTACTGTTTTTCTTCTGCCCCTACATGCTAACTCTCTGATTACTTTAGTGCAGACCCTCTTTGGGTTTTGTATTTCCAGGAAAAATTCTAAACATAAAGAGGTTAGTATCTCAGAGCAGAATATTGAACATCTGCTGCTGCACAGTGCTTCACGTAGGGTAACTGTTGTAATATAGAAAAAGCTCTATGATCATATACCACATGCCTGAATTCTTAAGCACTCTAACAGCAGTAATTGCCACTTACCTAAAATATTTCATTCAGAGCACTCAAGCAGCCTTACAAAATAGAGGACAAAAAAAAAAAAAAGACCCAAACCACAAAACCCAAGCCACACTCACACTGTTATCCTGTTTTACTGTAGCTGTGGATTTATAGTTATGTGTTAAGCTAATTCAAGCCTGGGCTGCCTCTGAAAGGTGTGACTCCATGCTCCTGCCTGGCCAGAAGTTCAAAATCCCAACTGCTTTTCTAATCATTAATACCAGCTACAGAACTATATGTGTTAATTTAGCATTTTGAACACAGAAACAACAACAAAACTGAGCTCTATAGTTGCTGTTCGCAAAACTTCTGCCAGCAAGAATGAAATTCCAAAGGAAAAGGAACAATTTTAAATCACACAAAGCCATATCCCATGAAAATCTCATAAAAGCAGCTGGCCTTTTCTTGGCAGATTTTAATAGAAGAAAGTGAAAGAAAGCATCAGACAGGCTTGCTCCAGGAAAACACATTTCATAATTTCCCCTGTACGATTCCGAGGGGAAAAGTGTGTTAACATATAGAGCCCCATGCAGCAGCTTCTGCATTTAAACAGTTAGAAGCAAAGGTAATGCTTTATTTGGACACTCATCGAATCACGAAACCCCCAAAATTTTGAAGGTGTATTGTAAATTGCAAACCCACTATCCCTATCCGTACCCCCACTACCACCAAACATCAGCATCTACTAATTAGAACATTCACGAGAAGTTTACATCCTTCATAATTTAAGGCTTTTTTGCTCCCTTGGCCACAAATATTGCCTTCTTTCTTTTTTTCCCCCGAGAAACTGTGTTCTTTCTGCTTTAAAAAAAAAAACCCAGACAAATCCAAAAGTATTATATTAAACAACAGGCCCAGCAGCAAGAAGGAATTCAATAAAGGAATGGTAGAGGAATAAAACTGACATGCTGCTTGTTATTAATACACTCCATCTACCATACATTTTACTAAATTATGCTATTTGCTAAACACATTCCACCAGTATCCTTGGAGATACTCAAAACCCAACTGGATGAGGCCCTGAGCAACATGCTTGAGCCAGCCTCGCTCGGAGCTGGGAGGTGGGACCAGGTCTCCAGAGGTCCCAGCCAAACTCACCACGCTCCGACTCCAAGTTCTATTTTGTGACTATTTCCATTACAGGAAGTAGGTCTCCTCTCCCCAAAGGATTTCTCACAGTCCTCAACATGAGAGGCCATAAGGCAAACGTCCTACCACAAGGCAGCTGTGATTTACATGTTAAAGGCCTCCTAGTGTGACTAGTATGTGTGACCTGGAGAACAGAGACACAAGGAAGTACAGTGTATGGGTATTTTTAAAAGTGCACTGAGAATGTTCTTTAAATGTAATTCTTTACACACCACTCATTAGAAAAGGCCACGCTTACCTGTAAGCAGTAAGAACTTGTTTAACTAAGCAACCGCCTCAGGCTTCTAAAAGGTCTGCAAACTCCCAATCAAAAATTACTGCTGCCCCATCAATGTGTCATATAAATGTTGGCATGTTAATTGTGTATTTATAAGATTGTTAATGGTTAGTTAATTTACCTCCCACACTATTATTGTACTTGAAATGATTTAATGTCTGCTAAGGGAGTTAACAACATGTAACAGCAGATGCGAGAATTTTACCTTTATACTCTGCACCCTGACTTCACGCTATTAAAAGTCCATGTGCTAAATTAGCCAAGCTTCGTTACAGTTTTACATATGCAATCACTTTTCCCATAAACATGAACAGTGAGAAATTATAAGAAATTCTATTTCAAACTCTGAAGTTTAATACAAATACATTTTTCTTCCCCCTCTTCATATTTTTCAAAGGACACATTGTTGTGGTTCAAGCCCAGCCGGCAACCCG